GTCCCAAGCAACGAACCCGGTGAAGTGCGTCTTCGTCTTCTTTCTCTCCCAGACACGAGACACGACTCGTCTGGGACTGCCGGACTGCCGCCCCAGACAGACCCCGAAATGGCAGCACCCCTGGCCTGATCGGTCGATATACCAGTCCCATTAGTCGTGTCTGGGTCTAATTCGCCCGTCTTTTGAGGTGTCCTCTTCGGTCTCTTCGCTCGATCGGCGGGAACGACCGTGGAAACATGCGGTTTGGAAGACCGACGACTCGACGACCGATCCTTTTGGCGGATGGCTTTTGTATGCACCGTGGTATAGGTTGAACTATGGGTGTTCCGTTTGGCTTTGATCTGCAGCTATTCTGTGAACAACCAGCACCACCCAAAGAGTGGTTTAGAGACCCCCCGTGACTCCCTGACTATCTATAGTTTCATATATTGTCCATCTAATATCCACCCTTTGGTCTTTGGGTGGTGCTGGAAGTAGTCAGTTTGAAGTCCAAATTCTGCACGTCTGAGGAGACCGAGCAAGAGAAATACCTCCTCGCTTGAGAGAGACCCGACTTCGCGGGACGTCCAAAAGAACGCTTCTGGGGCCTCGTCCGTCGATGCTTTTGGGGCGCAGAACGATGTGTGAACCGATGCCCGCTGTGTGAACCGATGGAAGCTCCAAATGAGGGTTTTCCCTGCAGCGATTCGATGCTGAAGGGCGTCACTTGTTGACGCCAGGGTCGGCACCGAAATCGGATCCCAAGACTCAGTCCGTGGATCACCTGCCCAAACCAGGTAAAAGTGAGTTCGATATCACTTCGATGTTCCAGGGATCTCTTTTCAGGAGGCAGGTGCTATTTAGAACAAACAGAACATCTCCACAGACATCTCAAAAGAACCCTGTATTATGAACCTCAAATCTCTGAATCACAAGCGACCACAAACATCCACTTCCACCGAGCACCACTTGTGACGTTTGGTGACTTCCACGCGCGATCCGAACGGATGAAAACATCGTTCCCACCGAGCACCTCTCGCCCACGCGCCAGGTGATGTTCGCCACGCCGACGGAGCCTGCTGCTCGCGGCACAAAAGGGATGCGGCCGGGCGGAGCTGACGAGAAAAGAGGCAAAGGCTTGAAGGTCGGTTCCTCTTTTTCTTTGAAGGTCGGAGCTACATGCGCCGGAAGTGGGGGTGGAGCGAGCTTTCCATGTTCCCGGAGGTGCTTTCTTCCGCATCCACGGGTCCCTCGGTGCAGGTCTGTGACGGTCGGTCCATCGGAGTCCGCGGGAAGTCGGACATCGGTTGGGGGTGCGCATCGTACGTAGACCAAGTGAAACGAATGCCAAGGAAGCTTCTAGCTACTAGTAAGGGGTTACTAAGAAGCTTCAAAGACATACTAAAAGCTTCTTGTCACTACAGGTGAAATGATGCCCAGGTGAAACAATTCCCAGACGCTCCATGGGACTGCCATAGGACTGCCGATCAGTTGGGGTGGTGGTTTGGGGGGTCTGTCTGGGGCGGCAGTCCGGACTGGCAGTCCCAGACGGGTCGTGTCTGGGATTGACAGAGTTGAAGGACCCAAGTTCCGGATAGCTTTGAAGCCAAAGGAGTGGCATAAATCCTCACATCAATGAGTCGAGGGACCCCATTCAATACTTTTCTTATCATTTCTTGATATGTTTTGAAACATTGACTCACCTAGCGTTCCGTGGATCAACTAGATTTCTTGAAGCCATAGAGGATCAGCAGGCGCCTAGACAAACGGCACAATGATGGCATGTGAAGCCCAAAGAGGCTGCCCAACCCTTTACTGGCAAAACCCACCGATTCGACCATCAGCGGGAGGAAAGCGATGCAGCGATTCTTCTCCCTACCTGTTCCTCCCCACCTCGCACCACGCTTGACGCCCACGCTTCAACTTGGCGCCCCACCCACGGTGTTCACCCCCGGTGCCCACGGTGGAGTTGCGCCTGGAGTCGCGTCGCGGGAGGTGCCGAACAGTACCAGTAGCACCTTCAGACCCTATGACAATCGACTCTCGGAGAACATGCCGGATGGATGGTGGGCTTGGGATGTGTTCTGAGTTTGTTCTATGTGGGAGCTAAGCAACATCCGAGGTGACTGGTAGATCCAATGATCTTAAGTGCACTGAGGTCATATCAGTGCCAGGCCTGTTGATTGGGTATATTGAGGTGTCTTCCGCATGTGTCAACCAATTTGGTTGGAAGTGAACACGCCTTCGATATGAATGAAGCCTTGTCGGGCGGGGTGTTTATAGGGTTACCTCTCGTTCTTCAACAACGGAAGAGGCTGGTGCCCTGTGGAAGACCATTTTCTTCTACCAAACAAAATGACGGTTACATCAATGACCACAAGGTGACATCAACAACTCGTTGTTCATGTTCTTAAGGTTCACAAAAATACCTTGTTTGCAATCATGTTGTAGTGGGTCAAAAACCTACAGCCTCCCAGTCACCCCTATTAGGCCCAAAAAGTATATTCGTCGGTAGAAGGATTATTAGAAAGAAATCTATAGGACCGCAGGCTGCAAGCCAATTCTGTTTATATAGGGACCCCCATGGTCCAATGCTAACCATCATCTTCATCTTCCCATATATCATCCTCTCCCTCTTCCCACGCTGCCCTCCGGCTGCCGCATGCCGCACCTGTTCCTTTGGCGCAACACTTGTCATTGTATCAAAGAAGAGCAAACAGGTATATAGATGTTTGGCAGTTACGGATCTGTGCAAATTGGCACCAGTATCCTGTATCCTGTAGCAAAGAACACCACCTGTATCCTGTTCCTCCTCGTCTTCCGGCACCAGTCAATCAGTTCTGTCGATCCGAGGATTGGAAGACCACCTCTTCGTGCAAACGCCCGAGGGCGACGAGGCGTGGAACAGGAACCGGCGTGGGGGACGAAGTGTTTTGAAGCAACCCAGACACTCCATGGAACTGGTATATTTACCTACATTGGGGTGGTTTGAGGGTCAATGTAGGCATACCTAGATTTCTAGGTATATGGCATACATGGAGTGTCTGGGGTCTGATGGCCGTCTGTGGTCTGTGGGGTTCTTCTGGATGGGGAAGGCCGTCGATTTGGGGGAGACCAACCATGTTTTTCACAAGACCCAGACACGACTAATGCGACTGGTATATTGACCGATCAGGCCAGGGGTGGGGCCAGAGGGGTCAATGGGGCGGCATATATGGCAGTCCCATGGAGTGTCTGGGCAAGATACGCGCTTTCACCAAGATGTTCGTTTCATGTTGCCTCTACCAACCTGTGTCTACCAACCTCCAGCAGGATACCATGGATGCGCGGCGTCAACCGACCACCGCCACGTTTTCACTTGCGAACTGTTCGACACTTCGCCCCTCAAAGCCCTTCCACATAGGTGGGGTCACGTTTTCAAAGCTGGCAAGCCATAGGAGCTGGCATCGAATCCCAAGGAGTCCGAGCGGAGCTGCACACACGTGACGCTCCAGGAGCTGCTGGTGAAGGTGCCCTTCGTGTCCCCCGCCAAGGCGCTCGCAGAAGGGGTTGTGCTTTGGAGGGGCCCAAAGAACGGGTTGTCAGAGGTGGTTTTGTAAGGCAGCAAGGGGGAGAAGAGCTTCGGCGGAATGCCTGGTTGGTGTTTCCGTTTTATCATTATTGCTTGTCAACCATTTTTGGCACATTTACTGAATCTTTACATTTCAAACCGTGTTTCTGTGAATGACTACCCCAGTTGAGTTTTATTGTCGGGAAGGGTTTTAACCAGCATCCAGATGTGGTGCTTTTTAAGGGTCTCTTAGCGTCGCTGTGTCCACCGGGATGTGAGGAACTGTTGGGATTGAGGGCGGATCGTGAGGTGCCAAAAACTACATGGCTCCACATGACAGAGACTAGAGTGGAAAACGGCGACCCATTGTTTTTCTCACAGTCACACGGATTTTGTGACAGGACATGAGAGTGTGACTTGACGGAGATATCAGGGGATGTACAGTACTATGTTTATCTGTGTGTGAGTGACGCAGTTTGTTCCATGGTTGTTGGGTTTGGGAACAGAAGTAGCTGACACAATGTCGGGAGTGGATGAAGCGGTGGAAACAACGTGGAACTTCAACGCTCACGAAGCAGGGATGGCAATCTAAGCCAATATAAGCAAGGACAGCCAGGTTCCAGGGTTGAAGGTAGCCTGAAACCTAACAGTTGACCTTCCATCCTTTGAACAGCGAACTCGTCTCCCCACCAAAATTAAGAACTGTGATGTACCGGTGCAAAGGAGACAATAGCGAGATAGCACTGAACCTCACTGGTAGACCCAAGACGTTCTTGGGCTGCTGAACCAGGTGGGTTGGGTGGTCGTCTAGCCGTGCTTCTTTGAATCTATCCGTGCTTCCCAGTCAGTTTCACCTGGTTTCTACAGTTGCAGGAAGATCCGGCACCGGTCGATCACAGTGTTTCAGAGAAGATGGCACAGCCCCCACCAAAAGGTGGTTTATATGGACCCCATCTAAAAGACATCTTGGAGGTTGTGCCATCTACTCTGAAACCACTGAATACCTTGAGTCATGCTCAAACATCATCTCTCACGACGTCTCTGCAGCCGTTTTCAGGCCGCGTGACGTCGCACCGGGCGCGCGACACGCGTGACGCCTCCCCGGTTTTCGGCCGCTCCGGTGTTTTTTTGGAGCGGGCCCAGTGTGCAACATGGTTTCAGCAAAGGGTGCCAGAAACAGCAGAAAGGTTGAAGCTTTGAATGAAATCTCACGTCACACTGTCACTATAGTGGGGTATCATCGAATCGCACATGGAGAAACAAATCTTGTTTTCGCCGGTAGAGGCCGGCTGGTTTCACGACCAGAACGTCCACCACAACAAGCTCCACCGGCGTTGAACGCCAAGCGCAAGCAGAGCAACATTCGAAGCAGAACAGCAAAAAGTAGAGAGACGCAGGAAGGACAACCATAGGCTCCTGATCGCCATCCCCCCCGCTTGCCACGCGCCGTTTCGCCGCGGCAGCCGGTGAAATGGTTCGGCGCTGGGTCCGGAGTGCAGGTGCGCGGTCTCGCCTCGGAGCCGTCGTTTCACAGCGCACGGGACGCTGGCAGTAGGTTTGGTTGGAGATGTTTGACTTTAGACTTACAAGTTGAAGCTTTTTGAAGAGTTACCTAACCAAATCAAAGGTTCATTTCTTCAGATCATGGATCTTCGCATCCCAAATAGCCACTACCTACTCCGGACTTTGAGCCACCCACCCAGCAACGGGCGATGTCCCAAAACCCGCTTCACCAGGCACCACCGGCCCCACCGGCGGCGAGGGCGCAAAGCCCAAGCCGGCCGCCGAGCGCGTGAACGTGGCGCCTCGGAGGGAAGGTGAAGGATCAACGTCACCGGCGGAGTGGGGACACGTCACCTGGGCGTCACCTGGGGTTCAAGGTCCCGAAACTGGGCGGGTAGCGCAAAGAGTGTATGTGAGTGTTGCCCCAAAAGGGACCGGAACCTACAGTCAGACCGTCAGACCTCTGTATGGCATGTTGTATTACTTTTTTTAAACAGGCATATTGGCCGATAGGTTGGATTGGGGGGTTGAAGGTCGGCATATGGGTGTGTGTTTTCATAGGAAGACCCCCCGGTCCTGGCTGGGTAGGCTGGTCTATTTTCCTTCTGAAAAGGGGGTCGAACTGAGAGCTCTCCATATATTTCAATGCTCAACCACATGATGATGACGGAATGTCTCTATGAATGACGCTGAGAGCATTTGTCCAAGCTTTAGACACTTTAAACGTGACCATTGATGGTTGGAGTAGGGCCTAGATTGAAGGAGCAGGATGCAGTGTGCCATCTGGGCCTGGGTTTGTCTTCAGTCATACTACGGCACCGGCACATGTGAAACCGAGGGTGCTTGCGGCGATGGCAATCTCAAAGACTTTTTGACATTTTTAATGCAGCTTTGTTGTTGTTTCTCAAGCCTGGTTGCATCAAACGCCCTACAAGCTCCCAAGTGCCATGCAGCCTCTCATGCCCCGCAGGCTTCTGCGGCATGCTTTTCCATCACCATGCGCAGCCCCTGCCCTAAGCGCCTGGCGCGTGAGCTGTTTTCCACGGACACTGCGTCCCATCACCACGGCGTGGACGGTTGGAGAAAACGAGCTGTGGCGCCTGGTGGAAGAGGCCAGGACACCACCCGTCAGGACAGTCAGGACACCTCAGAGATATAAACCAGGTTCAAGGAAGCTTGGGGATGGCAGCAGTTGCTGGAGATGTCTTGAATGCGGGGTTGAGAAGGTGGCAACAGATTTCTATGTGAGAGCAGGTGGATATGTAAATTCCTATTGCAAAGCTTGTGATACAGTGAGAACTCGTGCATACCAACAAACGTTGCGCGGCAACGCTACCGTGCTTGCTGCGAATGCGAGGCATCGTTCAAAGTTGAAAGGCTGGGTTTGCCATGTAGACACTGAGTTCATTCTTGCCTTAGTCCTCCGTCAACAGGGTAGATGCGCCTACTCTGACGTTGTGATGGAGATGCTACTGCCGCACTCAGACTGGCGGATGTCATTGGAGAGGCTGGACAATGGTATCGGGTATGAAGCCGACAACTGCGCTCTAGTTGCTGCCGAATTCAATACAGGGTCAAGGTTTAGCAAAAGGGTTGCTGTCGATGAGAATTCAGGATCTTCCAAATGGTCGCTGCAAAAGGTTCGAGACTTGCCAGCTCAGCGTCTTCTGACCGTGAATGAGCATCGGTTGCTAGAGTCGATCGAGGCAGCACGTGCACGCCCTCGAGCACTGTTCCAGCCAGATGCATTTGCTGGTCTAGAACATCGATTGCAGGATTTTCCTGGACATTGGAGATGCTCAACGTGTGATCTTTGGAAGCCTGATCACTGCTTCTACTTGAAAGGAGGGATTGATGGCGGCATGCTCACCCAGTGTAAGCAATGTTGTGGTGCTCGGAGACTGTCCTATAGATTGACTTTGCGGGGTCACATCCAGGAGTTGCTGGGAAATGCACGACACAGGCACAAGCACGGCAAGTGGCATGGAGACTTTGAGCTTGATGTGGATGCAGTGCTGGACATGCTGTGGTCTCAGCAAGGGCGGTGTTTCTACTCGGATGTTCCCCTACGTTTTGCGCAGTTGAATGTTGATTGGATGATGTCGCTGGAGCGGCTAGACAACAGCAAGACATACACCAGAGACAACGCAGTTTTGGTGGCGCTTGAGTTCAACACTTCCGATCGCAGTGGATATGCAGTGTCTCCCGTGTTTGGCTCCAGCCAATGGTCCAGGAGTAAGGTGGAACATGTTTGGGGCAGTGTGACAAGCTCGGCCCCACATCACTCCTGCGAGATACCGAGATACAGCCTTGGTCCAAAGTGGCCAAGCAGCCGGAGTGGTGAAATCATGTGAAAAACTGCATTTCTTCTCCACGTGGATTTATGAGTGAAAAGACACCAAAGCATTTGGTTATTTCTGACGAAGCCATAGCGCAGAATTCGAATTGGTGTACCCCAAGTGATCCTTCTTGGCTCCAGTATACAGCAAGAACGGAGCGTTTCCACGGCCTTTCATAAGGTACCTATAATCTTGAGAGGGGAGGGCTCAAGCATTCCTTTCTTCTTGCGCGGTTCCGCTAATTCGAGATTGTAAGTCATGAGCGGGTGAAAGTGCTTTGACCAACTCCGATGGGCTGGTACAGGCCACTGGCATCGGTGAGTGAACTACCCACAAGTATTCTGAGCCCCTATCTTTTTTGATCAAATCCATGCAGTTTTACACTTCTTCATGGTTTCTATATATTTTAGAACTTGTATTTCCTCCAACCGAACTCCATTATTGATCATAAAGCAACGAATGCGAGTATGCATATTACACAAAAAGGTTTGTTTGTTCTTTTACTCCTGTGGCTATTGTAGATCTATATGCTGTTCTAGGCACCTTTGCGCACCTCTCCGTGTCTTCCTCTGCTCTCCCACCCAACTCCGACGATGGGACGCCACGCCGCGCCACGCCGTCGCGGAGTCGGAGCAAGGTGTGGCACAAGTGGTCCGACCTGCGACTGTTGGATCATGAGCCCTTGTGGCACGCCCACCAACGTCCGGAGCCGGCTCCATGACCGCAGAAACGGGGGGGACGTGTGGGAAGGATGAGGTGAACGTTCTAGGCCCCAAAAGGGAAGAACATCCTATCTTTTGTTGTTGTACTAGAAACTGTGGTTGATCAATGTTGATCATGGAGACAGATGTTCTTGTTTGGGCTCTCCATTTGGGGAAGTCCTTCAACAAATGCACCTCCTTTTTCATGATTTTTTCAGACCATGTAGTTCCTTTTAAGACCATGCCATGCCATGTCATCATAACAAACGAACGGCCAAGGCAGCGATGTCGACCGCCTGTTGGCCGCTTGCCGAACTGGACGGACCCGTGAGAAGCAGCCAGCAGCCAGCAAGTTCTTTGAACGTGAAACACGTTCGATTTACCTGATCTTGCAGTGGATTGCTGCCCTAAAAACACTCAGCTGTCATTGTACCCCTACCATGAACCTGTTGAAAGACATGCATGGTTAGAACAGGTTATATTAGACTACCTGAGATCCCTATCCTGCCCTTTACAAAAGTGGATAACCTTCCACCCTTGTCGAAGGGATAGAAGTAGGGACACCCCAGTCAAGACCCCACTATATAGGTGGAAAGTTCATTCGGTTGAGCACGGCTCACCTAAAAAACAGATGTATTTCAGGGATCGATGGTGGAGTGCCTGAGACCTGAGATCCTTTTTTGCTTCACTTGCCCAGGTCCTCCACCTTCACCTGGTCGAGCTCCAACTCCTGGCCGGCCACGCGCGCGTGAGCGGCGTGCAGCGCTGCTCGCCGCGGCGGAAAGAGTTCTGGCGCCAGTGCGTGGAGGACGGGAACGTGTCGAGCAAGAAGGGGTGGTTCGGGGATGCAGAGAGGCTCTCATGGGTATACGGTATACACAATAACCTATGCCTGTGACATGACTATTTCAATAGAAATTCGATCTCCAATAGAGCCACGGTCATCTCCAAATGGGTCTCTGAGTTGATGGGCAGGGACCATTTCGCCGAGCTTCTATGGTCTTGTATACCTTGGGCCATACAAAAGAACCGGTAAGGCTCCTCACCATAAAGGTCCAGCTTTTTTTAAAGGTGTTAACAAGGTTCAGATCAATGACACCAAGCCTACTATGACTGAAGGCAGAAGTGCTGCACTACCTTAGACTTAAATGTTCAACAGATTGGATTGTAAGCATGTCCCATGTTGGTTCTGCTGGAGTTCTTCCATTAACAAGATGTGTCTACCCAATGTTCGTTTTTGGATGGTGTTGTTGTGTCTATACTTTCTGTACAGTGATAGCCTATTCAGCTTCCAAATGGATCTAGGGGTTGTTCTCCCACCCCACCCCCCTGTCCTTGGAAAGTTTGTCATGTTTGGAGCAGGTCTCCACCAAGCACCAGAAACGCCTCAGAAATTCTACCTTCCAAAACGACCCGACATGCCTCTTCCATCCTCTTCCCTTGTCCTTATTCTGCTCTTATCAGACGGAATCCTTCTGTGACAAAATGTTCCCAAAGAGTTGTTTGAGGTCCCAGAGGAGCTTACTTTGCAGGAGTTCCTTTCAGCCTGCACGTAAACAACGACTTCGAATCAAAGAAGATTGGCGCTGAGATTCCGGAACCATGGCTGGACGATCCATTTGCAGAAAGATTCGACCATGTCACTTAGAAGATCCATGTCCAAAAGCAGATGGGATCTTGTTGGTTTCTGTGTGTCACTTCAGCTCTTCCTATACGCAGCGGCGTTTGATTGCAGGTCCTTCAGGCCTGATGCCTTTAGGCCACACTGTTGCATCCCAGGTATCCTGCCGTTCGGATCACGTCGCCAGGACCTTTCGGAACGGCTCCAAGAGCGTGGACAACACTTGGCTTCTTGTACTGAGTGATACTGACTGACTGACTGACTGACTGACTGACTGACTGACTGAGACTGACTGACTGACTGACTGACTGAGTGAGTGAGACTGACTGACTGACTGACTGACTGAGACTGAGACTGAGACTGAGACTGAGACTGA